AACCATTCTGTGATTCTTAGCTCTGTTCACATATTAGCAAGCCTGCATGTATTTTTTTATGTTACCATAGTCTGTAATATACAGATTTCACTTACTGATATTACAGTGAAAGTGAGAAAAAATGACTTCCAAGTACTAGCTGAGGAAAACTTTTGTGAATCAAAGTGCTCTGTAGTTTCAGTTTGAAAAAAAGATTTTATGCTACAACTCTCCCTGAAAACTGCTGAGTTGAATCTTATATAGCATGTAAGTTCCTGTAGAATCACAAAAGGGGTCTGTCGGGCCGTTATCCGGCTACGCGCCTTTCAGGCTATTGCTTTTAGCCACCGTGTTCTCTAGAAAATGTGCTTAATTTCAATATGGGGGAAATCATCCCTGACATTAGTGTGTGGAAGAAATGTCATTACTAGGAGTGAAGTACTGGAGGACATACTGGCAAAATGCAGAATTCTGAATGTGCACCTAAAAATGGGCTGCACAATGTTGGTTTCTTGTTTCTCTTGATGGAAAAAACCACTAAAGGAAATGATCAAAACTGTAAATGTTCTGCACTGTGAAAGGATGAGTAACTTTTGACTGGTAAGGTTTGTAGCAAGCTTCTGATCAGAAATGGAAACACTCTTGCAAGAACTGTAATTCAGTAATTGCTGGTAAATATAATATTTCATCTTTAAACTATGACTTTTTATTGGATACAAATGTATCCTTCTGATACACTCGAAGTTTGGCAATTCATTGAAAATATCTTTGGTTTTCAGCACTGGATGACTTTGATCAGCGCGTAGGATTGGGTTCTCTTGCTGCACCCTCTGGAAGGGAGACGGGGTGTGACCCAGACGTGATGAGTCTTGTGACAGATGACCTCTTAACATTGCCAGCCGACGGATCGCTGCCCTTTGTCCAGCCTAGTCCTCTTATGTCAGAGCATCAAAGTAGTGAGTGGAACAGACAGTCACGTAAAACATCTTTCTGCCCTTACCAAACCTCATCACTCAATACTGAAAGCGGTTCCAGTCTCCAGGAGAACGGGAAAGCTGTTGGTCACCAAAATCCACACAGAGACTTCAGCGAAGAGAAACACAGTGTGTATCGCACACCTGAGAGGTGCGACTCTGCCTCTGAAGGAAGTTCAAGAGCCCTGTCTCTTGAAGAGAACTCTAACAAGAACTATCCAAGCTGCCTTACCATCCACAAGTCTGACTTCAGCGTATCGCAGGTAAGTAGTATTCCCGATTTTCACTACCCAGACTGGCTTAAGAGTTACAAAGTTTTTTCTGATTCAACTGAAGAAAGGGATGGTGAAAATCTTGATATACAAGGCGAAACTTCCTCTTCACAGACTTTTGAGATGCTGGAAAAAGGACCGTCTGTGGATAAAGACAGTTCTAATTTTTTGGAAAAAAATGGTTGGCTGGATCCAAGAGGTGACGATGAAGTAGGAGACACGTGCAGCTATGACAGTCCAGAAGCATGCTTCCCATTTGATCACTCATTTTCAAGACCCACTAAAAAGCTGTTCAGAGGTAACTGTATTTAATGTATTTTTTTTATATTCTGAGGGTATTTGAAGCAACTTTTTTTTTTAAACCAACAGTCTCTAGTTACGTTAGGCTGACTGCGCTGTACCGTAGTAGATTTGTTCACTTCCATCTTTGACACATGACTCAAAGCACTTACTAGGAGTTGACCAAGTTAAATAATTTTCTTACTATAACTGTTCATATATAAACTAATATTTAAGCATTCCTTTCACAGCAAAGTATTTATTACACTGGCATATTTACTACTTTACTGCAAGATAATGACAGTAATGCCATAAATATTTTAATAGAATTTCAAGAACTCAATAAAATTACATAAAGTGTAACCTTGGGGAAGGTTCCTAAACATAGTGTAAATGAACCTGTCAAATTGTTAAAAAACACCATTTATTGTGCTGTCTTTTTCTCCACTGTACACAGTCAGCAGGACATGTTTGTAACCCATATATTTAGGCTATCCAGTGCCTTTAGTGGATGTGAAGCCCTTCCCTGGGAATCTCTCATGTAGCTACTCTTTGCAGCAGGCCATCGCTCTTCAGAAGCAGGGAGGTCCTACCGTGGTGAAGCACCATCCTTGTATTATGAATAGCGGGGAGATAGGAGGGATCAACATTTTGAAGTGTTAATTACCTGCACTTCTGTCTAAGTTTATTAATTAATAAAGAAAAAACATTTTTTCTTTGTTATGCAAAACATAAATACTGATCTCTCCATTTTCCCAAGAGGTTATATATCAAAAACTAAGTTAAAATGTTGCTTGTGTTGTGAATTCAAAGCAACAAAATGCTGGATAGAAAAATGTCTGCAAATACCTTTCTAATGTATATGTGTGATGAACTTTAGATAAGGGATTATAGATTTTTTTTGCACAGAAAATGTTACCAATCATGAACAGACTAGATAGAAAAAAAAAGTGAGAATGCGTGTCTCATTTTGATTGCTTGTCTCAACCTACTTTTAACTGCGAGTCCTAGGTGTGATTGTATATGTGATTTGCATGTATATGTTGCATGATTCTTCTCCCATGTGTCTGTAAAAGCAGCTATTGGAAAAACCTGTACAAAACAGTGAGAATACTAACCTAAGAACTCTACAGTATTACTAAGTATTATTTAACATCGTATGGTGACTTAATATTAATTATATTTTCTATAGTATGAAAGCACATTCAAACATTAAATAATCTTGAATTCTGTATATAATACTTCTTTCACGTAAGTTAGGAAAAGAAATGCTTCACTACTTTAAATATTCTCCTGGCTAGAAGGGTGCAGATCCCATTTGGTACTGATGAGTTACACCCCATACTGCCATACCAAGGCGACCAAAGGAATTGTACCAGGGCTATCTCTCTGTAAAATATTTCCAGTTGTAATTCATCTGTAGTCGTTTTCTTTCAGTATTACATAAAGTTAGAAGTGGACATAATTAAATATGGAAATAATGCCATTAAAGAGGGTTGGACATGTTGTGTCCTTGTTCTTTAGAAGACCAACTTGAGCTACTTATCTTGAAGGCTGACAGAGGTCTGGAGAGCTCAGCTGAACACTTGTCAAACATGCTGGAAAATGATGGCAGCCCTTCTATAACAGATATACTAGGAGCAGAAAGATCATGGGAAAACGGTCCGGGCGCTTTGTAAGTAAACATTCAGACTCATTTGTTTGTGAAAATACCTAATGTACTTAATTGCTTTTTTATATAGATGCTAGACAGTGGTGCTGTGGCATGCACATAAAGAAAGGATTTGCTGTAAGATTTCTTGCTAGTGCTAAATGTTTGTATTTCAAGGTCAGGCTATTAGTGCACTGCTTTCCTTTTTTCACTGATTTGCAAAGAGTGCTATCAATATTACTTAATGTTGCCTCTTAATATCTTTGTATATCAGTGATATACAAGAAATATTTATTTCAAGAGAAAATAGTTAAGGGAAGCTAAATTGACAGATTTACTACTTTATGATTAATAGTTCATGAAAAACAAATTAGTAGTGGGAAGTCTGTTTTTTTAAAAAATCAGTGAGGCTTTGGGAAGTTTTGGAGCAGTCTTGGGAGTGAAAATTCATTTTTTCAGGAACTGACAGGTTATTCCACAGGGTCAGAGAATGCTAAAAATCAATACCAGGATTCCCTGCAGTTTCCTACCATTTTTAACAAGAAACCAGGCATGTGTGGTTCTGGGTTTTGTCTGTCATCTTCCCTTTACCCCAGAACATCTAGAACTATTGGTTATTCTTAGCAGTATTTAATGGGTGAGTAAGTCTCAAGCGGCAGCATT